CCCCGGGGTAGCGCTGGAAAAAACAGCCAACCCCCCCCGGTACGTCAATTACCCCCTGGGGGGGTTGGTTTCAGAGAAAGAAACGATCCCCTCCCCGGCCCTCCCCGGGGTGGAAACTCCGCAGTTTACGGTAGTACCACTGCAAACTTCAAACATATTCAAGAAGAACGCAAGACTATCAGACAAAACAACAACGGTCCCTATCAGCAAAACTTACCCCGGGAACAGGCACGCGCCGTTCTTCAGGCTCACCACCCCTTTTTCCTCGCGATCGGAGCAGCCCTGCTGTGGTTTACCAGAGCCTGACAAGCCAGGACGCGCGGTGAGGTAAAGTTCGGATGATTTAGAGGAGAGGGCAAGGGACCACCAATTTGCCTACGGTAAGGGGCAAGACAGGTTCAAAATGAGACATTGTTCAAGTGCAGTGGAGAGCCTGGGACACCTGAAGCGCCCATGCCTTCAAAAGTGGTCTACACACCGATGTTTTATTGATTTCAAACCGCCCGCCTTACTATTTAGCAGCTTGAGAGTAGATTTCCTGGTTTCTTGCAGTTGGAACGCGCTGACCACTTGCACGTGAAAACAACGGGTCAGTCGTGAAAACGCCTGGAGAATCGGTCCTCAAACACTACTCCTGCGCAGCTTTCGGAGTTTCGGAAAATTGGTAATAAGATTTTAGTTCGGGATGTATGTAGAGTACACGGGATTTGCTGTCGAACAGGTCCGGAAGCACACAAAATCTCCTGCGACACGTTTCTCGTTCAACAACCAAGTAGGTGCAGCCGGTACACGTGCAGCTCATTGTTACATGCCGGCGCGCTGTACACGAAGTCGGCCACGGCAGCACAACGCTAACTTTGATTGGTATCTACCCCCAACCAAAGCTCAAGCAACAGCTCGGGGAGACTCTACCGGAGCCGCCATCCCCGGAGACTACAACACGGCACGTAGAGTGTTGCTCGCAAAAAATATATTACCGGGCACAGGAAGCATGGTGGTGGCCTCCCGGGGAGGGGCGGAATCGGTGGCGGCAGCAGCAGCGGTGGGAGCTGTCTCTTCACGGTTTTGAACAGGTCGAGATGCAGGTTCAGACACTGAACCGATGAGACAGCACGTGGACCGAACCAAAAACAGGAACGATGCAGTTTGAGGGAAATAGAGATCAACGTCGAAAGTCGAAAACAACGTGTACAACGTTGACCAAAGCCGGCTGCCGGGGGGGGGGGGGGGGTACTCATTGTCGTGCATGCCGTAGTCGATAGACCATTGACCTTGCATCCCCACAGAGCCGGGACGGAGAGCGCCGGTTTCTCATTGGGCTCTAACATCACCAAGTGCGAAGCGCTGTGAGGTATTCGGCAAGTCGCATAAATCAATTCCGTCGACACATCCTCTTGTACTAGTCCCGGGAGGCCTGCCAAAGCAAGCAGGGTAACCGTACATATCGAGTGGCTCGGACTCGTGCGGCACAGCGGGAGCTAGAACGGAATCGTGGAGAACGCTAGTTGCCTCCTGGGGCTGATCTTGTGCTTAACGCGACTTGGCTTCGCTGTTTCAGCACGCCCCTCCCTGTTGGCGCGCGGCTGTGGTACAAGGCCCGTGATGGATTGTGGTGGACCGGACGTATTGGTGCTCATCAGGGCGGCTCGTACATCGTTCGATTTTTGGATGACCCGGGCCCAAGCGTTCTCCCTCTGCCTGCGCATCTCTACTCCACCGCCTTGGACGCCGTCTGTGGATCATGGTGTTTAGAGAAACATCGTTCGCGCCCTCTGGGCGACAACCGTGGTCGCACTCCGCTCCTTGCTGGCTCCTTACCGTCGGTTGTTCCCACCGTTTCTTCTTAGCGTCATCGTTTTCATATACCAATCGGCCTATTTTGGTCTTTTGTGCCATCCTTCTCGCCGACGTTTTGCTTTTGTTTTTTTTCTGTCACCTTCCGTTATATTTTATTTTGATTTTGTTTTGCTTTTCTGTCTTGTCTCTTTTCTTTCGTTGGCTTATTTTTTGTTTTGGACGCTGGGGCAACGCCGCCTCAAGACACGCAGTGTCGAGTGATCCTTCTTCCTTGCTGCCTGCATTCATCTGAATCAGCGAACTGCCGCGACCTGGATGTCCGTTCTCTCTCGCCTTTGCTTACTTTTTTTGTTGTTGTTGATCTTTGGTTCTCTCGACAAGCTCCCTCCGAAGTTTCGTCGGTGTTGTCTGCCTCTGAACACTTGGAAGAAGAGTTCCCCAAGTTTCATCGGTGATGTTTGCCTCGGGACACTTGGACACCGAGTCCCCCGCGTTTTCCTGGTTCGCCTGTTTGCTATGTTGTATTAATTTTTTTGGTTTTAGTTCCATCGTGCCGCAGAAGTGTTGCATACGCTTGGTGCTTCGGGATTCCATCCCGTGGCGTCGCCTTCTCCCATGGATTTTCGTCGTCACCCACACTTCGTTCTGCTTCGTCTCCATCATCGCCACCTTCGGGCGACGCCTTCATCACAGTAGCGCCCCTGAGTCGTCGTCTTGTTGTGTGAATCTCTACGACTTTGTGTTTTATGTCTTTGAATGATGCGTATCGCCAGCGAGCCATGGCGCAGTTCGTCGACCGCCTCTTTTGCCTTAATCGCTGGTGCTTTGCATCCGTGGTCCTCATTAGGTCTTGCCCCTGCCGTCTCCTTATACGAGTTGGGTACCCTTGCACGCTGGCCATCGTTCTCCGTGCCTTTGCCTGTCGTTCTTTTCTCCTGCCCTTCGTTAACGTCCTAGATTGCGGTGAGTTTTCCCTTTGCGTCGTGTCCAGTATCAAAGGTCGTATTCGTTCGGAAATTTGTTTGGGTTTTGAGTTTCGTCACCGTATTTTGGACTCGCTCGAGTAGTCACCCTCATTCCTCCAGCGGTGATACGCGCGGGTGCGCGAAAGAGAGTGGTGTGTGGCGTCTGGATATTGATTTATTTTCCCTGTCGTCGTCTGTTCAGGATGATAGCGTGCTCTGCCGCAATATATATTCTTCGTAGCTTTATCCCTTCAAGCGTTGTCATTGAGATGTCGATGTGCCGTCTCGTGACCGTTCGCATTCTTCATCTCAATGATGGTGTGGGGGATTGATTCGGAATATTTCTACAACTCACCCTCCTTTTGGATGTTTTGTGAACAGTCATATCTTCGATTCATGATCATAAATCATCAGCTAAATCTTACTGTAGCTTTAGGATTCGAGCATTGATTTTGAGCATAGAATCTGCATATATATATGATTTTCAGGGTGGGCTAGTGTTAAGGAGTGTGGCTGCTAGCATGAATAGGGCACATCCTATTGTTGATGGGATGCGGGTCGGTCAGGAGGTATACCCTTTCGACTTCTACCCCCTCGAATTATCTACTCTGTGTACCCCCTGAGATGAAGTTGGATCCCCACTTCATCCCAGACCTTTTGCTGATCGTCTCTCAGCAATAACAAGCAACTTTCCCATCTCAACGTGGTCGTGGACAAGCGTGTCAACGACAGAACCTTCATCTATCTCTAGGAGCAAGCTACCGCCCAAGGCTCCACTCCTTGAAAGTGCCCTTGAAAAAGGCTGGGTGGGGTGAACCTCACGAGACAACCGCTGAAAGGTCGGACTACATGTGACACCACAGTATAGGCGCCATCGGTGAAGCGTCCCCCACGAGACAGGAAAAACGAAAACAACGCCGTGATTAACGTGCCCCTACAAAGAGAGGGTCATCAACGCCGTGGACATCGTAGAAAACGTTTCTCTATCGCTAGCACGTGCCAATTATCGTGCAGCTGCATCAATCACTACGCATCTCGCGATAACATCAATTTGTTTGACGGTGTTGATCACCGCCCGGTACCGGAGAATCTGGGGTGCTGAAGATCGTCTCTCACCCCCGAGAAGGGCGAAGAAGACCTGCCCAATGGGTCTGGTAGAGAAAAGCGATGGCGCCACTACGACCGCGACAAGACTGATGACTGATTTTTTGTTCAACCTCAAGACGTTCAACCGAGTACGAGACATACAAATCTTCCGTAACGTGGACCGGAGAAGAATAGTGTTCTGCGTGGGACCAGCCGGTAGGAACAGCTAAAAGTCTCACCTTAGTGTGGGTTGGGCCATGGTTTGCAGCGCGCAACCGAAGCACGACGTTTCGAGTCTTCGCCCGGCAGATGCGACCGCAGGTTCAAGTGTAATAGCACCTTGGCCATAAGAGGACGCCATCAGGGTTTTTCGAAACGGTTGGCCGCGAGAGGACTGCCATCAGGGCTTTTCGAAAAGGGCAACAACAGCCTAAGCTTCGAACGGAACGGTCCACTTCGCTTTGAGAAGCTTGTCGTCAGTATCTGGTCGAACACCTTGACGAATGGAATGGTCGGAAACATATTCCCAAGCTCAACTGCTGTCGATGGTGTAAGTCGGAAGCTGGCGTAAAGCCTCCGTGAGAGCGAAATTTCGACGCTCGATCCACCGAAGGGACAAGTTGGGCTGCTGGCGCACCAACTCGTATGCAAAACGTTGGTGATCAGCATCAAGAGAGCAATATTCAAGATGATCGCGGTTCGAACTCTGATGACCTCGAGCTTAAGGATGCTCGATGGTAGTCATCGGTAGCCTACAGTAGGGAAACGGTTGATAAGCACCTCATCGGGGGTAAACTAGTGGCAGATCTACTAGGTAGAGTTATTTTTCGCAAACTTCAAATGAGGGAGATGAATATCCCAGACATCTTTCTTTTCGTTGACTGCCATCGCAAGCTTTCGTGCCAGTATGGTTGCCGCGCTCACACCGCCATTTCCATTGGGATGGTACGAACTGGTGGCTACTTTGCAAACTGCGATACGCTTGTAAATGGCTTGCGATAGTTTCGAGTAAACCTGCGTGCCATTGTCTGGTAAAAGACGCAAGGCCCCACGAAGGCAATTACCGCATCACTGAAGTATCTGCGGTGCCTTCGGCAGGAACTTCAGCGGTCGTGATGGCGTATGTGTCAGCATGTCGACAAAATATAGCGATCGGTGAATGGCAGAATGTCAAGTCTTACCCGAAGGGGATGGTAGGCAGGCGGCGAAATAATCGACATCCACGGACGTGCCAGGTCCAGAAGGCAGCGGTATGGTTAAAATGGGCCACCGTGCCATTTGTGGAGATGTTGTGAGACCTTGGCATCGCAGGCAACGACGAACCCACCATTTTGGCCTAAACCATGCTCATGCCCACCCACCAGCAAAGCCGCAAACAACATGGACGGAGTACGAGTCGCACCGAGATGAAGTGATGCATTGTCGTCGGAACCCTGCAAAAGCCATTGACGCTTTACCCCAGGGACATGACCCCTGGTAGGTTCGTCGTTGAGAAGACCCGCTACACACCCGCCAGGGCGCCTGGAATTGACAGATGTGGTTTGCCTGTTTGTAATAAGAAGGACAACGGTCGACATGCAATCGCCCTTGTGTGCCAGTTTGCGGATGTCCGAAAGCGAAGGTCGGCGATGCGACGTAGGACGGCCAATAAAACCAGGCGGAAAATCCGAAGGGCTAACCGCATGCGGTTAGGGCCGAAGGGGGTGAAGAAGAGGTGGAATCTGAAGAAACCCATGTTGGCTGTGTAGCAGTCCGTTCATGCAGATTGCGCACAAACGAAGCATCCGTCGGTGGTGCTGCAAACCGAGGGCCAACGTCGTTCGTTGTAGACGGGACGGGGGACCCTGTCATTGGGTCTTGGTGTACCGGAAGTGGTAGTCGGCGGAGCGGCAGCGGTTGGAAGACCAGCGCTCATACATATAAATGCACATATCTTCTCGTGGAATCGCACCAAAGGGTTTTGTAAGACAAGGGCCGCAGACGCGATACTCAGAATATCACCTGGTTCTCGAAACATCCTCCAAAAGGAACACGTTGGCGGCCATGCGCGACGAAAACTTTTTGAGGAAGAAACATTGATGGGTGTAGACTATATTGCGTAAACATGTGCACCATGCAATTGCCAACGGGCGGGGGAACCATCACCACATGCCCAAAACGAGTTAATGTTCGGAAACAGTACGGGCTCGCACTTAAAAGAAAATTACGTTAAGAAAATAAGGCTCAGCTTTTTACGAAAAAGAAGAAAAAAGGAAATAATAACAAGAACACATAATAGCTCAATCTCGACGTCCCACTAAGAAAAAAAAAGTAATCGATCGTGCGATATCCCAATAATAGGAAACGTCGCACTGCTGCTCCTTCCGTGCTCTCACCCCCCCCGTACCTAGCTGAACAAAGATTTCTTTCGGAGAGTGATTATTGTCGCGCGCCCTCCCCCGCCTCCGCGCTAGCTACTATTGCGCGCCGCTGCGGCCTGCTTTACCCACTGCTGCATGAATGTTTGGGGTGTTTTGGTGTTGTGTTGTTATTTTCTTCATAACCAGAAATTCGATAAGTAGTACAGGAATCAGGAGGATGCGACAGTCCAAAGGAATAAAAACGCCTTTTCACAAAATGGACGACTTCGGCTGGCCCGTCGACCCAAAATAAGGAATTGAGCCTCGACCCGATGTTGACGTTTCTTATCCCCGGGCCCGTACTGGAGTGCTTGAATGGGAAGCTGGTGGTAAGGAGTGTTGCTGTATGGCACAGATGGGGTACACAGTCGGTCTAGATTAAGATGGGGGACGTCAGGAGGTATACCCTCTTAAGACGTACCCCATCGAGACTTAGCTATCTGCGTGCCCCCAGGTTGAGGGCAATCCGCCTCACCTCAGACCTGTAGCAGACCCGCTTCTGCAATAACAAGCAACCTCCCCATATCAACGTGCTCGTGGACAAGAGTGTCTACGACAGAATCTACATCTACTACATCTAGGAGGCAAGCCACCGTCGGGCGGGCATTCCTTTAAACTTGGCGTCAATCTGGCAGGCACGGTAAGAGAGAATTGGACGCGATTCTTCCCTTTTCGTGCGCCGAGGCACGCTTTGCTCACGACCACCACGTTGCTTGTTGTTAGGTCTCACCACCCACGAGAATTTAGACTTCGCCCTTATTGGCGATTACCTGCGGGATGCCGGCTCATGATGCTTTTGCTCGTCGCTCACGAGACTGGGACCTTGCTCATGATACGCGCATAGGAGGGCGCCGCGGTGATTCTCCCGATTTTTCTTACATGAAATGCCCATCACGAGCCATTTTGTCTGCTTCGGGAGTGCATGAAGTTCTTTCTGTGGCGGATACGTTGTGGCGGCAGCGGCCTGAGCTGCAACCCCTGTTTAGTGGGGCTCGAGATGACAGCATGCTCCCCGCTTCTACTACTGCTCCTACTGCTTTTGTGCCGGCTTACCGGCCTGCATCCGCCGACTTCCCCGTGGTGCTCTCTGATTCGACTCCACGTATTTCGACATGGCGAATTTTATGTGTACACAAGTTGGGCGTTCGTTACACTACCGATCTGCCATTCATTTTTCGAGAAGAACTCGCTTTTTTTTTGGGCCATTGGCTATGCATGTAAAAGACCTCGAGTTGGAGCCTTTGCTGCCGCGCAAACCCACTGCGGTCTTTCCCCGCACCTCAGCGCCTGTTGCGGCAAAACGTCGTGCTGCGCTGCGCGAGTTTTGGACAGACAAACTAGTCTCCTCGTATAACACAGGCCCTTTTGTGCTAGCTTCTACTGCTGTTGGTACATGGCATGGAGTGCTTCTGGATGCCTTTTATGATTGGTTGGATCCGCTTCAACCAAGGGTACATCAAGCTTTTCTGGCCGGGCGTATGCTCTCTTGCGGATATCTTCGCTTTCCGTTTGGACCCAGGCAGGACCCTCCGGCCGTTGCACCCACTTTTACCGCGTCTTCTGTCCCTGGCTCTGCTGTCCCCGGCTCTGCTGTTGCCCCCACCGCCGTGGCCCCCGCCATTGCTGTTTCTACTCGTGATCGGGAATACCCCGGTTCTCTCGCTTTTCTTTCAGAAGCATAAATGTCGGAGAAGTCGGAGGAACTGATGGGCTTTGAAGAAGAGGAGGTGGAGGACGCGTCCCAGTCTTCACAGGTGGAGAACGCATCCCAGTCTTCCCCGGACCGTCGTGAAGTCTACGGACTGGGCATTCTTCGCGACATCGAGGCGGCCCGTCCCAAGGCTCTGGCTGCAGCTTACCGCTCGGGCAGCANCCCGGACCGTCGTGAAGTCTATGGACAGGGCCTTCTTCGCGACATCGAGGCGGCCCGCCCCAAGGCTCTGGCTGCAGCTTACCGCTCGGGCAGCATCACCCTCCGGGACATTGTGGACGCGGCCCGCCTTTCCTCCCCCCACCCCCTTGCCGTCCCCACTGTTGACTTTGACCTAGACGAGGAGGAGCTCGTTGAGATGTCTAACGATGAAGTCGACGCGTGGACACAACTTCAGACCATCTTCAACCAGCGGCTGCAGGCTGAGCTCGACCAGGCGGCGGAGGACGCGGAGCAACGGGCCCGAGAAGAGGAGGCCGCTC